ATTATAAAATAACTTTTGAATTAAAAATTATAAATGATAATTAATAATTACTTATCATATAGAATATCGCACATAGTAATCTTAAACCCAATTTGTATAAAAATAAAATATATTGATGCTAAATTATGTCAACTTAAGTGCTATATAGGTGTTTGCATGTTAAAAATTCAATTTACAATAAATATATTGAATATAATGTGTTTATTACTAAATTTGTGTATTTTTAATTGACTAGCCTGTAGAGTATTTGGATTGGCATCCCGATGGTAATGTGATTGCTGTGTCAGATAGCAATGGTAATATACAGTGTTACGATTCGTGCTTGTCGTGCATTCGTCTTCAACCATTAACAGAAGAAACAAATTCATCAGCTTGGTTAGATTTTCAATCCAAAGTTGGGAACCGAAAACTTTTCTCCATGAAATGGATGCCATATGAAACAACAAAACAACCTGTGAACCAATCTGATGCTGTTCTTCACCTTATATTTGAAAAGTATGAATATTTTTAATATGTTTGGTCCTTTTAATTATAATGTTATACATTTAGGGGCCCTGTGATTGCCATTAAGGTTCTTGGCATTGGAAAGTTGTGTATAAATCAATTGGTTTCCATGTATTTAAATGAAAATGATGTTGATCATGCGCTTAACTTTCTACTGGGACTAGATTGGCATTCTGATGGGCCACTTTGTTTATCAACCTTGCAACAAATAACAAATTATTTGTTTCGACTGTCATTTACTCCTGTAAGAGAAGGTAATGTGGCTCTTAAGTATTAACTATTAAGTAACCATTAACTTGAATATTTCTAAAATTAAAAAGTAATGTAAAAAAGAATAATTACTTGACTCTTTAATAATCTTATATTATATTTACAACAGTGCAATTACAATCTGCAATTGGTAGTTTCTACCAACCTATTATACCGTTAAGTGAAGATGTCAAACACGAATATTTTGAACCTGTTCGAAATATTGCACGTCGTTTTTTTCATCATTTAGTGAGGTGCTTATAAATTAAATTTATCAACTGCAATTTCCGTTAAAAAATATTTTACCAAAAAATTGTTGATTACAGATATGAACTTTATGAAAAAGCTTACAGTCTAGCTATTGATTTGAATGACAGAGATTTATTTATGGATCTGTATTGGGCTACAAAATCAGGGATTGGCACTAGAGCTATGGCAACCATGGCATTGGAAAAAGCAAATCAAATTGTGTCATCAGAATCAGACGATTCACATTCTAGTCAATCGTCTGATTGTGACTGTACAGACTGTCATTCAAATTCCCCGTCAAGCTCATTAAGGCCACCTTTGCCAAATGTGTCCATCGCAACATCTTCTCCGTCATTGTTCATTCCATCAATATCTAACAACAGATCCCTGAACAATGTTACAACTATAAGTGTACCAGTATGTAATAGTTTTAAATAAAACCATTTTAATTACTTGATTTTTATTTTATTTTTCCTAGTATACTGCTTCTCATGTTGAACACGTTCACACAAAAAATATAGAATTACCAACAACTTCATTGGATAGTGTGCCACACTTAAAATATCCTTTTGAACAGCAATTACTCACCCAAAATACTCGTTTAGGTTTGTATTAAATATTTATTAAATTATTTAAATAATTATACTTTATTCTAATTAAATGTTTTAATTTATACATATATATATATATATATATATGTGTGTGTGTGTATTATATATTATCACATATATAATAATTTAGAAAACAATCAACAAAGTCAAATTACAACTAAACCGCAACCTGATAAAACTATTAAAGTCGTCCATTTTGGTATTGTATGATATTTTTCCATCAAAACAATTTATATTTTAATAATATTAAACAAATATATCATTAGTATTAGTATTAACTCTAAAGACTGTCTAAATTTACATCGGTGGGTTATGGATAAATTTTATTTTAGATACTTGTTTATAAAGTAATGTTTGACAACTTTTACAATGCCGTCCATTTAATATAAATATATTTATGGCTAAAAAAATAGATTACATGAATACTCATAATGGTGGTTTGGTATTTATTTTATGAAATATATGATATACTTTTTGTTTTTCTTGCCAATTTTACCAAATTAATGCCATATTATGTACTATTGTTAAAATATATTTTATTTATTATAATATTATTATAAAAWTATTTATGTAATAATTATTATTATTGTTACACTGTTTATTTATTAACATATATATATATATTTTTTTTTTCATTATATTATTGTTGTTATGCAGTTTATTTAGATATTTCATTTTACACCAAATTAGTTTTTAATAAAACATTTATTTTTATACCAATATTAAAACAATTTTTTTTTTCTCAGATACCTTATGTATATTTAACTATACTCTCTTTTCACAAGAAAACTTGATTGATTCGAGAGTACTAAATTACCTCCAGCAGGCTCATCTATGAAATACCTTCCACATAGTCAATGACCATATGTTTTTGTAGAAGATAGGCCACAATCAGTTTTTTTCACAATCCAATTTTCTCGGGAAAAAGAGAACGAGTATTTTGTAATTTAAATATTTCAAAATACAATGGAATCAGCTTGTAATGATTTTCAAAAGACCTAGTGATTCAGATTATTATATCCAATTGATAAAAACATTAATGCATGTGTGATATACWACCAACTAAATAAAGGCAGAAAATTGTTATATCCAGAATATCATACAGCAAAGTAATAAGTGAATTCTACTGTAATTTTATTTGATTATTTGATTATTTAAACACTATTAAGTCTATGTTATATGATTCTATTCCAATTTTTAGACTACATTTATGTATAAATTCGATATTCAAAGTTCATAAATCATTTTGAATAACTTACTTGAATGCTTACATCTAGTTATCAGTATCCGCAAGGACATTTAGCTTTTGGGAAGTTAAACTTAATACTTAGTGGTGGTTTTCATACTTATTGTCATTTGAAAGAAACTAAGTGATGAAAGACAGAACAAAATCATTTAAACTAAGGTTTTTCATGAATAAAAGTGTTTACATAAAAAAATACAATATTTCAAATTTCTCAAATTGTATTATATTACTTACAATATAATATTAAGGTACCTAGTACAATATAATGTTACAAAATTAACAATAAAATAAGTATTTTACAAACTCACTTTTTTTTTTTTGAGCCACCCATTTCTTCCAATTGATCTTTTAATAATTTCAGTTCGTTGTCTGGTATATACCTRATTACTTCATGTTCGTCAGTATGTTTGTGAATTGATGCCTTAACACCGGCAGGTAGTGAGTCTTCTATTACTTCAATAAGTAAGGAAAGCTTAGTAGTGGGGACATCAACAACCTAGAAAACAGACAATGTTTAATAAAAATATCGTATTCTACATTTCAGGTTCACGCATACTTGTATATTACGTTCGTAAACACTTAACGTGTATTGGGCTTCTACATTTTCGCTATTGGGCACCAATCGTTTGACATTTATTGTTTGAGGAGGTAAAGCCCACCTAAAATAAAATATTGAATGATTTATATTTCATAGACATAATAAAACTAATYAAACTAGTAATCACCCATCAGATACTTCAAGGTTCATATTTTCTGCAATACTGTGAACAAATTTTTGAAACGATTCTAGTATAGCAAAATCGTAACCTTTAATTTGAATATTTACTTCCTCGTATTCAGGAATGTCTGGCTTTAACAGGTCTAAGTACTCAGGTTCGTAAATACTACCATAACTACGAATAGTTGGCATACAAGCCTTAGCTGATTTAAAAGATTGTAATCTAGCCATCTTGAAA